GGCTTGTTTTACAACGTCGTTGCCAAGCGACGAAAACCCAACCCCGATGGCAAACACCGAGGGGGGCGGGGGATGTGTTTATAACGCACCAAACAAAGGCTCGGCTGCACGGGCACTGAGAAATGGGCTTGGCTGCGTTGTAGGGTAAAAATATCAAAACAAGTACCGGGAAGGAATAGGGCAAAAGTACTCGGTACAGTCGGGGGCCCTCTTATCGTGCGTGTTCTTCAGTACTTTGTGCCCGGCATAGTGTCGGTGAAATCGTCTGCCACAGGCGCAATCAATCGAGATGGTTCCTATGCTTATTAACGAGGGTGCGCGCTAGTGCGCGCAAAAACAACTTGGCACATACCCGCACTACGGAGGGCACGCAACTGCTGTATGTGACAACGTTTTTGCAACATACTCGACACACGCGTCCGTTTACTTTCGAAGGGGCCCAAGCTTACCCTGGGTGGTCGATGTCGTGGCAGAACGCCGCGACGAGGAGGCCCAGCTTATCGAGCGGACGGAGCAACGAGTCGGCCCGCGATGTCTTCACGATCGTGAAGGACGCGTGGGTGACGCTGACGGCGTGGGTCAGGTTGTGGAAGGCGTTGGGCGGATGCCGCCGCTCGACCGCGCGCAAGAAGCTCCACATCTTCTTGTCCGGAATCTGCGCACGGGCGGCGCGGCGCGGAGCGGCGAGGCAGGGTCGGCAGCCTGCGGTGAGAGGACGTGGGTGCAAGCGGGACGTTCTTCCCGGAAGAACGTCGAAGTGTTGATGGGCCACGAGTGCATGTGGTTTCACTGAGCTTCTTACCCCATTCTCTTTCAAGCTCAAAAGAGGATGTATGCTTTCGCGGAGAGAGGGTGAGCAAGACGGCGAGAAGCCGCGCCGTGGTGCTTGCTGTATACCTCAACGCAAGATAACACACCCCAGCGACCAACAACACCTTGACTCGAACAAATAATCGCCCGGAGTGGTGTTTGCTGCAGAGTGCGCACAGCAGTCTTCTGCCACTCTTGTCGCTTGGTGTGAGGTATTTCGCTTGGTCTCGTTCGTATGCAGAGCCAAAAGTACTTGACCCCCACCGGCTGAGGTCGTCTGTGCGGCGCACGCCCTACCTCAAGGGGGGGGTGATACGTGCCATGTTCTCACGCACACGAGTAGACAGACGCGCACAAAGGTCTTATCTCCCTTCCATGATCAAGGCTTCCATGATCAAGGCTAAGGTAGGTGGCGGGGGACGGCGCGTGTAGACTTGAGTCCTACTGTACGCCTTTCCGTGCGTTGCTTTGTAGCGGCGGGGTCACGCAGAGGATTGGATTTTCAGCCTCTCTACGGCCGCCCTTCTCGTGTGCTTTCCTTGATCTCATGGCGACGAGGACTCAGTCTTTTCATTTCCCTGGTCGGTCGAGACGCCGAATAACGTGTGTGCCCACCAAAACAACTCGCCCTTCATTTGTGTGCGCACGACGGAAGAACAAGCACCATCCCATTTCGTGTGACTGCCATACGATTTTAGATCTCACACACAAAAAGGCTGCCAAGATACCGACTGGACCACCGGGAGAAGATCGGCTCTGTCACGACCGAACGGACGAAGTGGATTCACGCAAAAAAAACAAGGCTAGCCCCATGACGACCGGAAACACGCACCCAATACACACCTGAAACCTGTCTGTCAGCTCCATACTTCGGAAGAACCGCCCCACCAAGGACAGGAGTTGCTGCGAGCTCAGGTCAAACAAGTTCATGCTCAGGTCCACCAGCTCCGAATCCGCGTGTGTGGTTTCCTCCGGCGCAGCAGCAGCAGCAGCAGCAGCAGCAGCAGCAGCAGCAGCAGCAGG